CGCGGAGCTCCGAGTTTTTGTGTTTATGCCATGCTTCGTTCCCCCAGATTCTAGGCCTTCCCCCCCCCCGGGCGCGTCGCCGAGATGTGATGTGATCGGGAGTGCATCCAGGGGCGGCCAGGAGGGGGGCGTCCAAGAGGGGGGGCGCAAAGCATGGCTGGCAGCACGTGCGCGGCCCAGGGGGGGGGGCAGGGGACGTTATGAAATCAAGAAGAGGCGCCATGAAACCTGGGGAGATGTCATGGCCCCCGCCATGACAGCCACCCACCCACCTTAGTCATCACCCCCCTCTTGGCCGCCCCCGAGTGATGTGATTGTGCGCGCACCTCGCCCCAGAGCTGCACGGTCCTTCACCCCGGAACTCCATGCTCGAATACATACATGCGACAGGGCGCGCGCGCCGGCGATCACACGCGTCCGCCCGCGCCCGGGCCCCGGCGGATGCGGGACCAGGCACCGGGCAAGAGGCCTATAGGCGCGGAAGGAGGGAAGAAAGGAGGAAGGAAGGAGGCGGAAGGAAGGAAGGGAGGCAGGAGGGGGAGGAGCGAGGAGCGAGGAAGAAAGAAAGAGGGAGGAGGAGGAGGAGGAGAAAAAGGAGGAGGAGGAGGAGAAGAAGGAGGAGGAAAAGGAGGAGGAGGAGAAGGAAAAGGAGGAGGAGGAGGCAAAAGAAGGAGGAGGAGGAGGAGGGCGAGGTGGTCGTGGTAAGGGACCGAGGGAGCTCATGCGAGCAGCCATTTGCCCGGCCGCTCCACCCCCCCATCTGAGCTCCTACGATGGTACGGTGAGGGTATTGGATACAATAGGAACTCGACTACAAGAAACCCTCCACAAGAAGCCCAATCCTGAGACTCCAGGACGTCCATTGATTCATTGTGTGGGAAAGTCACGCTCTCCATAGCAAGAACATCAATACCCAAGAGACCCAGGGCACCCCAGAGGCAAGCAGGGTGTTTCTTGGCATGGGTTTCCACTGTAAGGAGCCATTACATTAGGAATCCAGGGTCTGGAAGACGGCGGAAGTCTGATCGTGGACTGGCCATGGACATCACCGCCGCCCTCGTCGGACAAGGAATCGTCCAGGGTCTGAAGCCTCATGGGCGGATTCCTTGAGGAGCACCACCACCGTAAGGCTTCGGGCTGAGCGCAGACAGCCCCACCAGGTAGTCCCAGCTGTCCTCAACAGGATCCCCAAGAAGTCTGGGGCGGTCTCAGCACCCCAACCCTGGGGCGCGGACTGCCTGGGCGGGAACCTGTTGAGGCCAGCTGGGACTGCCTGGGGGGGCTGTCCGTGCGCAGCCCGAAGCCTCACCATCCTGCGAGAGGCCCGACAACCGTACCCTTGAGCCGGCGCATGTGGCACAACGAGCTGGCCACCTCCGAGGGTCCGAGGGCCGAGGGTTAACTTGACCATGAAGCATGCTACCTTCACCAACGAACATGATGCCGTAGGCATGCATGGACCGCGAGGCCCTCGTGCCGTGCCACCGATGGGCCCCCTCGGCCGCGCCCCTCGGCCGCGCCCCTCGGCCGTGCCCCTCGGCCGCGCGGAGGGCGGACGCGCCGCTGCGCCACCCGGTGCAGGGCCGCGCCCGCGGCGTCCCCGCACGGCGCGCGGCCGCGCACTGGGGAAATCAAAAGGTACCCATACCGCTGCTCCCCGGACCTCTCCCGTCCCGGGGTGCGTTCGGACCACGGTTTCAAGGCGAATCCAGCGGTGGCGACGAGGGCGTCCCAGGAGGCCCAAGAAGGAGAGAACGGCGAAGGGCAGCCGTATGGGTACCTTTTTCCTCTTCCGACTCTGATCCATGGACAGCTTTCCGGTCATAACTCGGCTTTCCAGTGTCCGTTCGGGACGATCTGGGCCCCCCCAGAACGCCCTCGGCGAGACGCAGCTGCTGGAGCGCACCCCGAGGCTGGAAAAACCGCCGAACCGACGATGGCGCCCGAAACCCTCGAACCTCGAACCCGAAACTCCCGAAGCTTCCCACCCAAGCTCGCCACTGAGATATGGGACCCTGGCACTGCCGGAGTGCCTTTTTGGGCGCCCGATCAATCCAGGGTAACTCGGGCACAGGGTAACTCGGGCTTGGACTCACGAAAAACGAACCCGAATTAGCCCTGACCCGAGTTACCCCTGATGATTTGAAGCTCTGGACGCCCGAGTTATCCGGGGTAACTCGGGCCCGGGGTAACTCGGGCTCGGATTCCCGAAGAACGAACCCGAGTTTGCCCTGACCGTAGTTACCCCTGATGATTCGGGGCTCTGACCTCTTCCCCCTCCAACGCGCCGCGCGAGCGACGAGGGCCACCCCGGGCCGTGCGGCCGTGCACGGCCGCGCACCGCACAGAGCGGTGCACCCGAGCCCGCGCGACGGGCACGCCCTGCACGGCCGCGCGGAACGGGGGGGGGGCGAGGCCGCCAGGGGCCGAGAGGGGCTCTTGCGGCCCCTCGGCTTTCAAATCTACAGAGAGAGGAGGAGGAGGAGGAGGAGGAGGAGGAGGAGGAGGAGGAGGAGGAGGAGGAGGAGGAGGAGGAGGCGGAGGAGGAGGAGGAGGAGGAGGAACAGGAGGAACCACACAAGAAACACACGACAAAGCCCAGGATTCCCCCTGGTTTCCCATATCTTCGGGGTCTGCGTCTTCCCCCCCACCCCACTTCCCATATGTTTTCCCAGATTGTCCTGGGAATCGACGATGATATGTGTCTGCGTGTTGTCTCCCCTCCTGAAAGTCGGCGGCGCAGAGGGCCCTCCAGCGCGGGCAGCAGATGGAAGTGCGATTTGCGATCGAGCAGCGTCGAAGGCACAGTTGAGGAGAGCTATTTCTCATGTTGGCAGGAAGGGGTTGAGAGGATGAAGGGCACGAGAAATAGCATCTGGATGCAATGAACGATACCTTCGGCCGCCTCGGGTAAGGATTTCCTCATCTCGACGGCTCCTCGATTCGCGCTGGGTATTCCACAGCGTCCCCTGTCTTCTCGGGAGATCGCTCCGGCCTTGCCTCCTCGCTCCCCCGCGAACGGCCGCTCCGGGCCACGCAGGGCGGGGAGGCCGAGGCTCGTGTGCACCCTTGGGGGGCAGAGCTGTTGGATGGACACGGGGGAGGCAGCAGGGGAAAGCCAGAGGGGAGAGCGAGATCATTTTGCTCTGGTGAGCTGTGCCCCACGCTTGCGGTCACTGTCGTATTGCTCCGGTGCGTTGTTCCCCGCACTTGTGGTCAAGATTGTCTTGCGCTGGCGCCTTACCGCCCCCGCCACCCACGTTCCCCATCCAGCAATAAAGACGCATCTCTGACCCGCAGGCGCACACGAGCCGAGGCCGCGAAAGGCGGAACAACTCCTCCCTCCTCCTCCTCCTCATCCTCCTACTCCTCCTCCTCATCCTCCTCTTCCTCCTCCTCCCCCTCCTCCTCCTCCTCCTACTCCTCCTCCTCCTCCTCCTCCTCCTCCTCCTCCCCATCCTCCTTCTCCTCCTCCCTCCTCCTCCTCCTCCTCCTCCTCCTTCCTCCTCCTCCCCTCCTCCTCCTCCTCCTCCTCCTCCTCCTCCTCCTCCTCCTCCCCCTCCTCCTCCTCCTCCTCCCCCTCCTCCTCCTCTTCTTCCTTTTGCGGTTCCTCGACTCGCACTGGATCTGCCACAGCGTTTTCAGACTTCTCCGGAGATCTCCAGATCTGCCTCGCTCCACCTGGGTGTACATCGAGCCGCGTCAATTTACCTCGACCTACTGGGTTGTCGAGGCGGTTGCTAAGGGGATAGGGGGGATTATCAGTGCACGCCAAAGGGGCTACACACCTGGCCGACTCTAGCTTTTAAATGGGTTGCATGCCCCAAGTGGCTTGGGGGGATAGCGATCCAGGCTAAGTGGGCTCCACCCACTTAGCGGAGTGGTCTAATCCCCCTGAGCCACTTGGGGCATGTGTAACCCACTTATAAGCTAGGTTAGGCCAGGCAAAACCCCTTTGGCATGCACTGATAACCCCCCCTGTCCCCTTATCACCCCCCCACCCATCTCAGTATCGAGTCCCAACGGGGCGCGAGTTGAGACGAGGGCAGCTCAGAGTCGGCCTGGGGGCCCCTCCCATGGAGCCCAGACGCAGCAGCTCTCTCCGGGCTGCGCGTCCCGCCGTGGCGACGAGGGGGCATCCCGAAGGCCACCTGCCGCTGCCTCGACCAGACCTGATCTGAGATCGGCTACACTAGGCGGCGAGCGACGGGGAGAAGTGAGAAGGGGCGGGCCTTCTCAGCAGGCGCGGAAGTCCCCAGGCCTTGTGATAAGTTTCCCAAGCCTGCCCCGAAGACAGGGCGAACTTCTCGGAAGGCGCGAGGGCTTCTGAGAAGTCCCGCCGTCTCTGAGAAGGCCTTCTTCTTCTCAGTTCCCCCCCCCCCCTCGCTCGCAACCGATACACGCAAGAGTGACCCTGGGCAAGAGTGACCTTTGGTGCGCGGCCTAAGGGGGGGGCCCTTCGGGGACACCACCGGGCGCGCAAGCCGCTGCTACAGCATCGCATTCCGCGATCCAGAGGCCCCACCACTGGTCACTCCTGCTAAAGGTCACTCTTACGGGTGCAGTCGGACCTCAGACAGGAGGACGTCGTCAAAGAACATGCGTGCCTCGCCTGGCCAAACTCAAGAACACACTCGAGGGTACCCTCCCCCAGGATGCACGAAGAGCATCCAGCGAACACAAAGAACATGAGGACATACCCCTTCCCCGAAACATCCTCGATCTTAGACCTAGCTCCAACCGTAAGTCGATGAGATTGGGCGAGGGGATGGAGGGCCGACGGCGGGCTCAGAAAAAGAAAAAACTGCATAAACATAAACTTTTGGCGCTCCGCGCGGATTTCGTGGATCTGAGCTGGACCCCCTCCCTGGCGCGCGGAGCGAGCCAGGGGCGGCGCCGGAGGCGCCGCCTGGGGGGCCCGGCGCGGACCCAAGAGATCCGCGCGGAGCGCCAAAGTCTACGCTTACGCCGTTTTTTTGTTTTTCTTCGAAGGCTGGCGTCTACGCGGAGGCCGCCGCCGAGAAGCCCCGCGGCACCTCGCTGGGCCGCATCAGCCGCCCGCACCGCTCCAGCAGCGCCCGCGTCGGCCCCTGGCCCGCGGCCGAGCCATCAGGCAGCCGCAGGGTCTGCGCGTCCATGCCTGCAGGGGGGAGGGTGGGCGGCGCCTCCTGGCGCACCCGCTGGCTCTATCCTCCTCCTCCTCCTCCTCCTCCTCCTCCTCCTCCTCCTCCTCCTCCTCCTCCTCCTCCTCCTCCTCCTCCTCCCCCTCCTCCTCCTCCTCCTCCTCCTCCTCCTCCTCCTCCTCCTCCTCCTCCTCCTTCCCCTCCCTAAGACGAACCAAGGGCGAGGCCGAATTCGGGGGGGTATCAAGATCGAGAATGTGAGCGTTTTCTTCTTCAGCGTTTCAACCTTCGGCGCTTCGGCAGTGGGCGGCGCCTCTCGGCGCGCCCGCCGGCTCGATCCTCCTCCCCTCCCTGAGACGAACCCAATGAGTACCCCCACCCACCCGCCAAAAAAAAACCTTATCCTTTGGGAGGGGACGAAAGTTAGGAGGGCCACAAACATGAAGGATAGGAGGTGGTTTCTGCAAATGTGTCAGGCCAAACCGCCCAGCATGATGATCCCCAATACGAGGACGGGGCCTCAGTGAGGCCGCGCCTTCGTCGTGTTAAGATGGTTAGGGGTTCTTCTGTGCTCGATGACCCAGAACGAGGATGACTTCGGGGGAGGATCAAAGTCGAGAATCTGGGAGAGATGGCAGCTCTGGGGAGTGTCTCGGGCGCCGCGGCCTTCTCCGAAGTCGGGCATGTCCCTCTACAGGAGGAACCTTCAAGAACCAAAAAAAACGTCTGGTGACGATTTTCGGGCGTATCTGACTATGTTTGACCATTTGCTCCTGTTTCTTCCAAAAAATCAGCCTGTAGGAGAGCATGCCCGACCTAAACCCAGGACGAGGATAAATTCGGGTGAGAAAAGAAAAGCAATAATCTCGGAGAGGTGGCGGCTCTGGGGAGTGTCTCTCTCTCCGGCGCAGCGGCCTTCTCAGAGCGTTCCGCAGAACACTCCGAGATCACTTCAGAACGCTTTGAAAAGGAGTTATCCTCGTCCTAGCCTTAGGTCGGGCATGTCCTCCTACAAGCGGAGTTTAGAAGAAACGTCTAAAAAACAAGTAAATATTCCAGTGCGACCCTACCTAGGAGTTGGAGCATTTAGGAAAGCAACATCTACATCTACACCGACAGCTACATGTACATCTACACCTGCATCTACATCTGCATCAACATCAACAGCGAGACTCACCTCTACATCTTCATATACATCTACATCTACACCTACGCCTACATCTACATATACATCTACACCTACATCCGCATCTACACCTACACCTACACCTACATATATGCTGTGCTATGCTATGTTATGCTGTGCTGTGCTATGATATGCTATGATATGCTATGCTGCGCTGTACTATGATCAGCAATGCTATGCTATGCTATGATATGATGTGATGTGCTGTGCTATGATGTGCTATGATATGCTGCGTTATGTCATGATATGCTATGCTATGCTATGGTATGATATGCTATGATATGCTATGCTATGGTGAGCTATGCTATGCTATGCTATGCTATGCTTGGCTATGATATGCTATGCTATGCTATGCTATGCTATGCTATGCTATGCTTGGCTATGCTATGCTATGCTACGCTGTGCTAATGCTGCGCTGCGCTATGCTGCGCTGCGCTAAGCTAAGCTAAGCTAAGCTAAGTTAAGGTAAGCTAAGGTGAGGTGAGGTAAGGTAAGATAAGCTAAGTTAAGCTAGACTAGGCAAAGCTAAGCTAAACTAAGATAAGCTAAGTTAAGCTATGATGATATAAGCTAAGCTAAGCTAAGCTAAGCTAAGTTAAGCTAAGTTAAGCTAAGCTAAGATGATATAAGTTAAGCTAAGCAAAGCTAAGCAACGCTAAGCTAAGTTAGGCTAGGCTAGGCAAAGCTAAGCTAAGCTGAGCTAAGCTAAGATGAGAAAGGCTAAGCTAAGCTAAGCTAAGCTTAGCTAAGCAACTGGGGGAACCGCGGGGCGGATGCCGAGGGAACCGCCCAGGGCGATTTGCACTGCCCGGCCCTTTAAGCCCACACAGTAAGAACCCTTCTCGGCAGAACCTAGGTAGGGAAAAGGAACCAAAAACAGTCAAAAGGGCACGAACAATCGTCACCAGACTAATTTTACACTATTCTTGAATATTCCTCCTGTACACGGACATGCCCGACTTAGTCCTGGCCCCGTCCGACTCCCGCCGCCTCCTCCAACCAGGGCGCGCCCTCCTCCCCTTCTGCCCGGGGAACGTTACCAAAAGAGCCGGAAACATGCGTGGCTGGACTCGCATGCGGAACACCTGGAGGACGCTTAAGCTGGACACCTTTGCGAGGGGCCACCGCACATCGGCGAAGCCAGGACGAGGACAACCTCGGGCACGAGGAATCGAGAATCTCTTTTGGGGGTCAGAAAGGTGCGTGACATAAAAGGGTATGGTGCCAATCGTGGATATGGCGATGCGATCTGCGATGGAGAACTTCGCCAGATTCCCCTCTACATCACATTGGCACCAAGCCCCTTTACACCACACCCCTTTCCTACCTCCAGATCTCTGAGATCCGGCGGATCCTGGGGATGCACCGGCCGCCGCGGCCTGCTCAGAGCGTTCCGGAACGCTCTGAGAGCGAGTTCCGTAACGCCCTGGAACGGATTCGTCCTCGTCCTGGCACGGCCCGAGGGGGCCAGCGTGCCTGGCCAGGCGCGGGCCGCGCGCTCGGAGGACACGTGGCCGCGCGTGTGTCCAGCTCTCGCCAAGGCCGCCCAAATGACGCGTGTGCAGCTTCCTGGTAGGCTTGCACGGTTTCCCTCGGGGCCGTAGGCGACCCGAGGAGGAGGAGGAGGAGGAGGAGGAGGAGGAGGAGGAGGAGGAGGAGGAGGAGGAGGAGGAGGAGGGGGGGGAGGGGGAGGAAGAGATGGAGGAGGATGAGGAGAAGGACCAGTGTAAACCCAAAAGTCATCAACGATGTTGGAATGAACCCTCCCTCCAAGCTCCCTCTTCGCAGGCCCCTACAACGGTTCATTTATTTCCAGTGAGGGAACTGCATCGTTGGAAGACAACCGTTTGAAGATCCGGAAGCGTGCCAAAACATTGCTCTCGGGATTTCAGCGCCACGTATCAACCTGACTGCTGCGTATTGACGATTTGGAATCGTGCTAGAATGCCGTTTTGGGGATTTTAACACCGCGAGTCAACATAACTGTTGCGCCCGCATAATCCTGAATCCTTCCAAAACACCAGTTCTGATACGCTGATAGATCATGGGATTCCGTGAAGCCCTTGCAATTTGTTCGAACGAATGTGCGCGGCGCTAGAGCGAGAGTCCCATGTTGAAAAGAAACCGCCCTCAATCCGAGAGGCTCTTGCATTTAAAAAAATGTGCGCGGCGCTAGGCGAGAGCCACAATTCGAAAACAACCCGTCCTCAATCCGTGAAACTCTTCCAACTGTTTCAAACGAATGTGCGCGGCGCTAAGACGAGAGCCACATTTTGAAAGGAACCGCCCTCAACCCGTGAAACTCTTGAAATTTGTTCAAACGAATGTGCGCGGCGCTAAGGCGAGAGCCACACTTTGAAAAGGAATCGCCCTCGATCCGCGAAACTCTTGCAATTTTTGGTCAAACGAATGCGCGCGGCGCTAAGGCGAGAGCCACATTTCGAAAACAACCCGTCCTGAATCCGTGAAACTCTTCCAATCGTTTCAAACGAATGTTCGCGGCGCTAAGGCGAGAGCCACATTTTGAAAGCGACCCGCCCTCCATCTGTGAAACTGTTGCCACTTCTTAAGCTTCAGAGCCATAAATGGTGAGGAATCTCAGGCGAAACGCCCGGCCCGCCCTAAAAACTGGCCTCGGGGTGCGACAGGAAGAAATCATTCAGAAGGAGAAGGAATGGAGGAGGGAGGATGAGAAGGAGGAGGAGGAGGAGGAGGAGGAGGACGGGTCGCCTGAGCCCTTCGGAAAAACCCTCCAGGCTGGCTCAGGGGGGAAACATGGAGCTGGCATCGGCGATGCCTTGCCGCTAGGTCGGCGGTGTAGGGCCCAAGTGGCGAAACCGCGCGCTCCTGTCGGGGAGACTCGGGTCCGGGGGGCTCGGATCGGCCCGGCGGTGCCGTCAACGAAAATGACGAGACCCAGACTGAAATTTGACGCGAGCTACCGCTCCAAGCATCCCGGGCGCGTTCGTCAAAAAACGTCGGCAAACCCGAGTTCTAGGTCGGGCATGTCCCTCTACAGGCGGATTTTGGCTGAAAAATAAGACACTCTCTGACAATATTCAAAAATTATGAAGAAAACCCCCAAAAAAACATAATATTTTTGGACTATTTTGGAATATTCCTCCTGTAGAGGAACACGCCCGACTTAACCCGAGTTCCAGCTTACTCGAGTCTCACGTCTCCCCGATCCTGGGCCAGGGGGGCCATGGAGCCCCCAGCGGCGATGAACGGGCGATTACTACGACAACGACAACGATAACGGTAACGAGAACGAGAATTACACCAGAGAACAACCCCAATCAGTGGATGGTTTGATTAGGGAGCCCACAAAGGACGTACGCGCCCAGCTATGTACATGAACACGGCCCTTCGATCCGCGAGACAGGCCGACTTATACGAACATGTGCGCAATGCGTACTCTCGAAACCAGCGTGGATTCGTGTACGTGTACGTCCTTCTGTCGCTCCTGATTGATGAGATCGATGCTGAGATCGATTGAGTGCGATGAATAGTGAGATCGATCATGAGATCGACAATAAATCGTGGGATCGAAAAGAGATCGATAAGGAGATCGACCAGGAACCCAGGAACCCGGAACCTGCCGAAATCGGACCGGAACCAATAACCAAGAACCCGGGAGACCAGAACCGGGAACCCGGGAACCCAGCCGTCCACCAACATCGGCGGGAAACTGTCGCCAAATCTTTCCATTTCCGCTCGGACCCCTTCACTGCAAGCACTAATCGGGGAACAACGCTATCGTTGTGATCGTTGCGATCGCTGTGATCGTTATCGTCGTGATCGGTACCGGGGTCGACTCGTGCTCCCTCGAACCTCTCCCCTCGTGGTCTTCGGGCCACAGCTCGGGCCTCCGGCGGCCGCTCGGGACGATCGGGGCACCCCCAAGCACGCTCTCGCCGCGGCGCAGCCGCTGGACGGCCCCCCCCCGAGGCCGGGGAGCCGCCGAGAGCCTTCGGAAACGCCCGAACAAAAACTCAAACCTCGAGCCTCGAGACCTCGTCCCCGGAGCCTACGGTGAACCCGCACCATCAGGACGCACGATATGGATGCAAGGGCCTCGGAGGGCCGCTTCGAAGCTCTTCGAGCGGGGCGCGGCCAGCGAAAGTGACCAAGGAAGGGCCGAGGCGGCGAGGATGCAAGGGTACCCTTGGGAAGGTTGTCCATCCTTACTATGCGGGTTGACTGTGTCCCCCCCCTGACGTTCGGTCGGGCATGTCCACCTACAGGAGGATTTTGAACGAAAAATTCAAAAACAAATTACTCCGATCCGACGGAAGGACCCCACATGAGAATCCTCTGGGCGAATCTGGAAAAAGCCCTCACCGTGGTCCTCGTGGTTGGTGGGGCGTCCTGGCTGTCTCCTCTGCGTATATTTCTGCTCGCCCTGGCGCGGGCCCTCCCCCCGCTCCCTACGTTGCCCCCGACCTCGCCCTCCTGTTTTGGCTCCGGACATTCAGAAAGTGGCCCGGGAGTGGTGTTCTGGGAACACGAAGGACACGAAGTGGCCTACAGTTGGCTCCGGGCACTCAAGATGTGGCCCAGGAATGGTGTTCTGGGAGCACGAAGAACACAAAGTGGCCTACAGTTGGCTCTGGGCATTCAAAATGTGGCCTGGGAATGGCGTTCTGGCAGCGCGAGAGCCCAAAAGTGGCGACAGCTAAAAGAATTAGATGACCCGCTCGGATTAGAAACATGATCTGCGGGCCCCATAGGGAGGGGGCTCCCGCTTGAGACTTCCTCGCAATTCACTCACAAATGTGGCCTGTGAATGGCGTTCTGGCAGCGCGAGAGCCCAAAAGTGGCGACGGTTACAGGAATTGGATGACCCGCTCGGATTAGTAACATGATCCGCGGGCCCCATAGGGAGGGGGCTCCAGGGGAAAAACAAAAACGCCAAAAAAACTCAAAATTACCCTATTCTTGCGTAAGGAAAACGTCGAAAGATCGCCCCAAGACAATTGTTTTTGACTATTTTTGCATATCCCTCCTGCAGAAGGGGCATGCCCGACTTGACCCTGCACCCTCGCGGGGGCGGCCCCTCTGCCCCCTTCCCCCCCCACCCCCTTCCCGCCGACCCCCTCCGCGGGCGCCGCGGAGGAGGGGGGGGAAGCAGGGGAGCGCGGCGGGCGGAGCCGGTAGGCTGTCGGGCGTGTCCTCTTACGGGCGGATTTCGGAAGAAACCTCAGAAACAGGCAGCAAATATTCGTGCTATTTTTAAACGAAAATCGTCACCAGACTATTTGTTCCAATTCTTGAATCTCCCGCCCGCAGGGGGACATGCCCGACTTAACGGTAGGCCGAAAGGGGCCCGCCGCCCATCCCCCCCCCACCCCTGGGCGCCGTGGAAGGCGTCCAGCTCCCTCGCGCTTCGGGCGATCAGCCTGTTCAGCTCCTCTCGGATGCATGCAGGAGAGGCCCCAGGCAAGAGTGAACTCTGGCGCGCAGCTTTGGTGGGTGCGTGTGCGGGCGGGGGGGGGGGGGGGGGGGGGGGGGGGGGGGGGGGGGGCAAACGCAAGCGCGCAAGCTGCTGCCGTCGCTGCATTGCATGCAGCGGTCGGGGGCCCCGATGGTCGTTAAGGCTTAACGACTTCTGCCGTCCCTCGACTCGCGCTGGAGCGGCCACGATGTGCTGCAAAATTTCCCTGGAGATCTCTGGATCGACCTGGGAGTACCTAGGCTTGAAGGTTTGATCTCTCTGCATGTACCTCCAACTTCTCCAGCCTGCTCCCCCAAAGTCGATCGGCGAAAAGTCGCCCAGCCCATAAGGAGAAGGGGCCCACATCAGACCCAGACCCCCGACGCCGCGATCATTTCACAACGTCGACCCCCAGAGGTCTGGACCACCTCCCGGGGACGGGTTTTTCATCCTGAATCATCCTGTTGACGCTCCCGAGGCCAGGCGAGGGCCCCTGGAGGCCAAGAAGAGCGAAAAACCTCCCCTCGTGACTTGTTCATAACGCGAGGGCCCCTGTGCGGCCGCTCCTCCGGCGAGGTGACGTCCTGGCCGCCGGCGTCGCCGCCTGGGCCGCCCTCGCTTCCGCCCGAGAGCCCGAGCACCGCGCGCAGCGCGGCGCTGCGCTGCTCCCCGGTGGCCTGCTTGCGGAACATGCCCGCGCCCATCACCTTTCAGGACTCACGCGCTGCGAAAAGATCACGACGGGAGGTTTTTCGCTCTCCTCGGCCTCCAGGGACCCTCGCCGGGCCCTGGGAGCGTCAAAAAACGACTCGGGACGACAAGCGAGTCCCTGGGAGGCGGTCCAGACCTCTGGGGGTCGACGTTGTCAAAAAATCACGACGTCGGGGTCTGGGAACCCCCGAACCCTTTGGGAGGGGATCTAAGTCAGAAGGGCCACAGCGTTAGGGATAGAGGGTCTTTTTGTTCTGCAGATGGGCCCGACCAAACCGCCCAGATCTGCTGTGCCTAATGCAAGGACGGGGACCTGTCCCCATCGTGTTATTGGGGGGCTCTTTTGTTCCCATTGATTTCAGCGGCGACCCAAGGCGGGGAAGCGAGAAGGGGCGGGCCTCGTCCGCAGGCTCGGAGCCCCCCCGGGGCCTCCTCACCGAGGCTGTCTACGAGCCTGCCCCGGCGACCGACAAAGACCTCTCCGAGGGCGCGAGGGCCTCTGAGAGGTCCCGCCGCCCCCTGCGAGGGCCCCCTCCCTCTCACTGCCCCCCTCCCCCTCCCCTCGCTCGCCGCCGATCCTCGGGCCGCACCCTCTCGCGCCCGGCCCAGAGCAGCGAGCGTCCGCGGTGGCCGAGCGCCCTCGGGATCCTTCCCAGGCCAGGGATCCGTCGCAGGTGGCGGGGGGTGCGGCGCCGTGGCCCTGCGTGCCCTTCGCCGCGTCCTGAGAAGGCCGTCTCCTTCTCGCTTCCCCCCCTCGCTCGCCACCGAGCCTTCCTCTCCATCTCCAGCTTCTCCCTGCAGCGCGCCTCCATGTGCCTCTCCACCTTCGAGTCCTGGAGGGGATGGGGCATACACGCAGGATGAGAGGCCAAGCTGTGACTACACCCCTGCTTGGCGTTCAGACAATTTCACGCTCAGAGGGTGGCCGTCACTCGAAGCGTTTTCTGAAACAGCAGTCCGGGTCCAGAGATACGGCAATTCTAAGATAAACTGAACTACGAGAAAACGCCCAGGGCCCAGTCCAGATTCGTGATTCTCTGAAACGAAATCTGTAGTCCACGGAAGCTGATGCGCTTCCTCAAAATGTCTGATGGGTGCAGATGCTGGGACACACAGTCCGTCGGTACGTTTGAGACGTAGCCCCAGAAGGTGCCCCAGAGCTGCTGTGTGGGTCTTTGGGGCCTGCGGGGGAGAAGACTGCGTTGTGTGTCTGTTGCTTGTTGGTTTGGTTTGTTTGTTTGTGTGTTTGTATGTTTGTGTGTTTGTGTGTGTTGTTTGGTTGGTTGGTTGCTTGTTTGTTTGTTGGTTGTTGTTATTGGTGCTGCTGTTGTTGGTGTTGTTGCTGTTGCTGTTGCTGTTGCTGTTGTTGTTGTTGTTGTTGTTGCTGTTGTTGTTGTTTTGGTATGGTTTGTTTTGTTGTGTGCTTGTTGTTGTGTGCCGTTGTTTGCTTGCGTTGGTTTGCCCAGGAGGGGGCGCCTGCTGGCAGGCCGATGTCGTATCCGGCGCGCCTGCTGGACCGCAGAGCGTGCTCGGACCTGGACCCTCCGCGGCGCACCAAGCCACGCCCGCGGTGGCGAGGGCCTCCGAAGGCCCCCTGGGGGAGGCCGAAGAAGACGAGAGCACAGGAAGGGCTGCTGGGTGTTGCCCCCGGCCCTTCTCGAGGCTCGAGGCGGGATTTCGGACGTCGTCGGATGGTTACTGGGATGGGCAGGGGGGGTGCCAAGGGGATAGGGGGGCAATCAGTGGATGCCAGAGGGGTTACACCTGGCCGAACCTAGCTTAAAGTGGGTTACACATGCCCCAAGTGGCTCGGGGGGGATAGCGATCCAGGCTAAGTGGGCTCCATCCACTTAGCGGAGTTGTCTAATCCCCTAAGCCACTAGGGGCAAGTGTAACCCACTTATAAGCTAGGTTAGGCCAGGTATAACCCCTCTGGCATCCACTGATAAACCCCCTTATCCCATTAGCACCCCCCCCCCCCCCGCCCATCCTAATATCGAATGTCTTCGGCCTTTTTCGGGTCTCTAGGGGCCTCCTGGGACCTCCGGGGACTTCCAGGGACCTCCGGGGGTCAGGATCCCAGGGAGGAGCAAAACCTACCACGGGAATCGAAAAAGCAGTGATCGTGGTTGGGGGAGGGGTTGGGAAGGTAAAGGGTAAGACTGTGCAGCAAGCACCTTCAGCACAGGCGGCAGCATTGATGATACGACCATTTCTCCCAACCCCACCCTCCCAAACCGACAACGTCCTTTCTGAAGGAAAGGCATCGGCACCGCTACGCCATTCTCCCCCGAGGTCCGTCACCAGGCGCACCACCCGGACCTCTTTGGTCTGCCCGACCCTGTGCACGCGGGCCACCGCCTGCTTGTCTTCCATCCTCCTCTTCCTCCTCCTCCTCCTCCTCCTCCTCCTCCTCTCCTCCTCCTCCCTCCTCTCTCCTCCTCCTCCTCCTCCCCTCCTCCCTCCTCCTCCTCCTCCCTCCTCTCCTCCTCCTCCCCTCCTCCTCCTCCTCCCCCTCCGCGCCCACGCTGCCGGATAAGTGTGTGACGGTCTCTGCGCATGCGGCCAGAAGCAGACGCTCAAGCACTGTGTGTATGAACGCACTCGTCCCAAAAATGTTACCCCTCGAACCGAATCTGGGGTCGATCCGTTCCTGCAGGCTGCCAATGAGTCGGACGAGTCTGTGTTTGTGCAAGGTGTGTTTCTTTGTATGAGGAGAACGAGGTGTCCTCGCCTTGTGCAGAGTAGTTGGTCCTGGAAGGTCCCTAACAAAGGAGCTCGAGGCGGGGGTGGAAGAAGTTGCTTCGCTCGTCCAGGGACCGCGGCTCGGCGTTGCTCCCGATGTTTCGTGCACGCGGCCTGGCCTTGTGGAGCTTGAGCGCGCTTCATGGTCGATCGCCGTGTTTTCGCATGACTCAGATGTGCCCTTGGCGGTTGTCCGTGGGCCTGCTGGTTATCTCCCTCAGTCGCCTAGCATCGCCGAAAGTGTCGCGCGTTGCTTGATTGGCCAGATCGCTGACAGCGAGACCCTGGTTGGCAGTGATTGCATGGCGGCGATCAAAAGGTTTGGGCAGCCAATCCAGCAGCAGTTGTGGGGCTCTAGCCAGGCCGCTGGGATCCTGAAGTTCGGTAAAAGCCTCGAGGGTCACCAGTGTATTGCTGCTCGGCATGTCGAAGCTCACCGCTCGAGCAGATCGAGATTCTCCAGCCTGAGGAGGGTCATTGGGCCGAGGCCAACAGGATCGCTGAATATAATGGCAAGCTCGCTTCCAGCTTCCATCCGATGCCGTCGCCGCAGTGTATGGCAAAGCTCGATCTCGCGAGGAGTCGAGCGGCCAGTTTTGTTGCGCTAGCTGGCGCTGTCCTCCACTGCCTTTTGGAAGATAGCCCTCAGCGGTGGCGGCGCCCAACCGTGCTGCGTGCCAAAAGGAATACTCGGGGTGAGGGGTGGCACTCGTGGGGCTGGGGGAATCTTGGATGGCAGTGCGAGTACTGTTTCAAGGTTGCCCCGTCAGGCCGCAATCTTCCGATGAATGGATGTCCCGGGACCCCGCCGTGTTTGAAGCCTCTCGTGGATGATCCAATGGGCTGGGCATCAATTGGTCGCCGTTGCGGGCTCTCGTCTTGCTCCCCTGCGTGCCGTGCAGTGCAGTGCCGGGAGCGAGGAGGCCAGACGGGGGTCCCTGCTGTGAGTCAAGTGTGGAGGTTGGAGCCAGACGAAGGCCATCAAATTGGCTGAACAGGGTGCTCCCCCCACCCGCACTGATGTTATGACTTTGTCTCGGTTTCGGCGCGCACTGGCCCCGAACCCCCGACTTCGAGATGTGATCGGGCGAGCCGTCCCTGCCCCACGTGTCGGTGTCAGTATTGCGTCTGCTCGGGATGTTCGTGAGTCCACGTCGATCAGCAGGTTCTCGGCCGACAGTGCGATCCCATATGAAGCTCGGATGGTTCAACTGGTCGAGAGGGTTCGAGCCAAGGAGCAGGCACGAGGCGGGCTTTGAAAAAAGGGGGGGGCACCTGTCGCGGGGCGCGCGCGTGGCAGTCAGACCCCGTGCGATACCCCACAAAATCTCCTCTGATAGTGCACCCTCCCCAAGTTTTGTTTTCGGGCCGGACCCTTCCACCTTGGACGTTTCCCAGGTGTCGTCTCGTCTCGTTTCCTCCTCCTCCTCCTCCTCCTCCTCTTCCTCCTCCTCCTCCTTCTCCCTCCCAATCCTCCTCCACATCCACCTCTTCCCTCCCTCCATTCCTCACTCACTCCCTCCCTCCTCTCCAGGGAGAGAGCCTGCTTGTCGTTCTGAGGGTTCCAGTCGATGTCGAAGAGAACCACCGTGTCCGCGGCCTGCAGGTTCAGGCCGAGGCCGCCGGCGCGAGCCGACAGGAGAAACACCTTCGGAAGTGCCCCTCGCCCCTCGCCACTCGCCCGTCCTCCCTCGTCCCCCTCGCCCACTCGCCGCCCCCCCGTCCCCTCTCCCTGTGTCCCCCGTGCCCTCCCCCCCTCTCGTCCCTCTCGCCCTTCCGCCCCCTCCCTCCCCTCCCCCTTTCCAGTCAACCACGCCCCGAGCTTCAGCCCCTTTAAAGGGTTTTTCCTCCGAGCCTTGTTCACTCTGCCAGCTGACTCAGACAAGAGGCTCTTTCGGAGTTTGTCCCTGTTCCTGTTCCCTCGCCCCTCCCCCCCCCCGTCAGCAAACATGCTTTCGGTAGCGCCCCCTCCCACCTCGCCCCTCCCCCCCTCCTCCTCCCCACCTGGGAGCGTCCTCCCCTGCCTCGCCCCTCCTCCCTCGACCCTTCGAGGGACAACGACGACGACGACGACGACGACGACGACGACGACAACGACGACGACGACGACGGCGGCGGCGGCAACGACGACGACGACGACGACGACGACGGCGGCGGCGGCGGCGGCGGCGGCAGCGGCGGCGGCGGCGGCGGCGGCGGCGGCGGCGACGACGACGACGACGACGAACGACGGCGTTTGGCGCCTTTGTTCTGGAGGCCTCTGGGCGACTCTGCGCCGCGCTGCCGCGCTGCTGGGCGCGGCTCCCAAAGACTGGCCAGAGGTGGACCCCAGGAGGGGTGCCGAGAAAACGCCGCTGGGCGGAAGCTGGTCGGGCGGCGGAGGAGCGGGGAGGGGTGGCTGAAGAGCAAAAAGATCACGAGCAGCGAGCATGTCCCCTCGCGGTCTGGATTCTGGGGCGCGATTCTGCGGATACCCTGGGTTTCTTAACAACCGCGAGGGGTACCCCCCCGACGGGGTCAACCTCGCCTCGCCGTCGCGCCGCGACGTGGGGCGGAGCGCCTTCGGCGCGCGGTGGCTGCCCGCGACGGGGGTCGATGTGGGGCTGTCGGCGGGGGTGACGCCCCCCCGACGCTTACTCAAAAACTTGGAATACGCGGTCGCACGCACAAATCCCACGCGGGGCACCCGTGAAAAACGCCCCGTATCCGCTGGGTCGCGGCCCGGGGGTCTGGCCCGCGAGGCTGCGGATACGGATGTGTTGTCCGCCCACGCCAGGAGCGGCGCAGGCGTAACGTTCGGAGGTCCGCGCGGAGTTTATGCCTAAGCCGTTTTCTGTTATTCGAGGTTATTCGAGGCGAAGGATGGACTAGTGAGCAGAACGGGAGCCCCCGATCCTTCACGCTCTCGTCGGAGTTGAAGCGCTCTATGCGCGCCTTCCTCTGCTCGTGCGCCACCTGACCGTCCAGCCGGACATGAACGATGTTTCGCCACTGGAGAAATTCTTCGAGGATGTCCAACAGGCTGGTGAACTGGGAGAAGATGAGCACCTTTCGAGTAGGGGATCGACTACATAATTGATTTAGCCCAACCTTGATTTGTTCGTCGAATATATTAAACAAATCTTATAATGTTGGTAGATCTACAATCGTTACACGTGTTTGGTTTGTATATTCGACGATAATTAAGTTTGGATAAATCAATTATGTAGTCGATCCCCTACTCAAACCTTGTGGTCGAAGCCGAGCAGTTTCGGCAGCAGCCTGTCGAGGGCTTCCAGCTTCCCAGAGGCCCTGTACAGGTCCTGGTCTCGAGTGTAGCCCTGCTGGAAGAGATACGGGTGCAGGACCTCAGCGGGCCATAGAAACGACAGGGCCGTTTTTTACCAGTTCCGTGTTGCCGCTTTGTTGCTGGTTCCGTCGCGGTGTTTTGCGAGTTCCGTTGCCGTTTTTGTTTCGGTTCTGGTTCCGGTCCAAATCCAAGAGCCACTGTTTTGCCGTTGCCGGTCGACGTTCCAGTTTCAAGAGGCACTTTTCCGAAAGCGGTGGAAAAAAAGCGGCCCTGCCGTTTCCGGGGCCCACTAAGTGCAGGACTATCTTCCGCAGCTGCATGAGCGCGTTGTTCACCTGATCGCTGGTCACGGTGGCGCCCTCATCGAGCAAGCGGATGGTCCGCTTCTCGAGGTCCCTGTATGCCGCCTCCTGCCACGAGCTCAGGGGAACGCGCACGTCGACCTCGACCCTTGGCGGGAGGCTGTCTGCCAGCACCTCGCTCTTCAGCCTCTGCAGCAAGAAGGGGGACAGCAGGGTGTGCATCTGCTGGATGACCTGCTGCTCCTGCTCTGGATCCAGCTGGATCTCGTACTCGTTGAGGCCCTGGACGCCCTGGAAGGGCTTCGCGAACCAGGTCTTGAAGTCCATCATGACCGTGAACAGGTCGGGGAGCAGGTAGTGCAGCAACGCCCAGAGCTCATTGACGCTGTTCTGAAGCGGAGTCCCAGTCAGCAGCAGCCGCATCTGGCAGCGGAGCTGCGCCATGGCATTGTGCAGCACTGTCTCTGGATTTTTCAGCCGATGGCCCTCGTCGACAACCACGAGCTGCCAACTGTTCTTCAGCAGCCAGTCGTTGCGGTGCACCTGCTCGTAGTTTGTGACGCAAGCGACTGGGCGCTTCTGCGCCACGTCCCGGCGAAGCCCCGCGAGCTCGAGCTCTCGAACGTCTTGATCCCCTGTCAGGACGCGCACGCCGTAGCCGGGCGCGAAGCGCTCGAACTCCGTCTTCCAGTTGGACAGCGTCGATTTCGGGGCAACGATCAGGTGCGGGCCCACGTTGCCCTTGCGCTCTTTGATGTGCAGCAGCAGGGCGATCGTCTGGATCGTCTTTCCCAGGCCCATCTCGTCGGCCAGGATGCCGTGAAGCTTGTTGCTGAACAGAGAGGCCAGCCACTCGAGGCCCTCTATCTGGTGGGCCAGCAGCTCCGCGCAGAGCTCCTCCGGCACGCCCACGTCGGGGTCCTGCCCCGCGTGCATGAGCCTCGTGTAGACCTCCCTCCGATCGGCCTCGGCTGCGCTGCGCCACTCGGCCTCCGCGTGGGGCCCCACGCTTCGGCGCAGGATGTTCTCCATGTGGCCTTCGATCTCCGCCGAGACCTCGAAGACAAGACGACGACGACAACGACGACGACGACGACGAAGACGACGACGAAGACGGGTGCGATGACGACGGCAGCGACGACGGCGACGACACCAGCGGCGGCGGCGGCGGCGACAGCGGCAGCGACAGCGACGGCGACGGCGACAGCGACGGCGACGGCGACAGCGACGGCGACGACGACGACGGCGGCGGCGAAGGCGGCGACGGCGGCGACGACGATCTCTCGCCGAGGCCTCGGCGAGGCGTTGCCGCGTGAGCTCCTGCGCCCTCGCCTCGTCCTCCAGGCGAGCCTGATGGCAGAAGGCAAAACGGTCCTGAGGGAAACTGGCCCTGTCAGGAGGACGCCATCACAACAACTACACTTTTTCTGTCCAGATCTTTTGGAGAGGGGGGGCAAGGAGGCGAAAGGGGAAGGCGCGACGCTCATCCAGCCGATCTACTTGTCACACTGCCCACCGCGGGCTTCAGGAATGGAATGGAGCGTGGAGCGATGCGGATGATCCCAAAACAGTATCTAAAAAAAGAAAACACCATAAATAAACTGTTGGCGCTCCGCGTGGATTTCTGGGATCTGCGACGGACCCCCCTCCCTGGCGCGCGGAGCGCGCCAGGGGCGGCGCCAGAGGCGCCGCCAGGGGGGCGCCCACAGCGGATCCAAGAAATCCGCGCACAGCGCCAAAAAAAGTTGTTGATTCTGTGCTTTTTCTTCTTCGAGTATCACCGCCAGGGGGAAGAGCGCACCAACACAACACCTACACCGATACTGATCGAGCCCATCCCCGGCTTCAGGACCGGTGCAGGCGCCTTCTTCGCTCGGTCAGGAAGGGATGCACACCGATCGCTACCTGGGCCCAGGATCGGCCCGGCCGGGTGCCCTCGGGACCCTGCCTCTCCGCGGCGGCGCAGCCCTCTCAGGGACTGCCCTGCCCAGTTTCTCCGAGCCGCCTGCCGCCGCGGCAGCGAGAACCACCGGAGAGGCCCGAAAGGCTCCGCAACGAAGACGTCGTCGTCGACGCTGCAGCTCTTGGGGCCGCCTTGGGGCAGCCTCGGGGCCGCCAAAGACCGCCTCCGAGCCGCACTCGAGCCGCCGGAGGCCGCCCGAGGGCCTCAGAAGGCCGACTCTGCGACGGCGTGGCGAGCCCTTCCCTCTGTGGCGAGGCTGTCTTTCGTGTTTGTCCCAACCTGCTGGCCACGAAGAACTGCCCAGTGCCACCACAGACATACTCGTTGAGGGCTTTCTGCCGTCCCTCGACTCGCGCTGAAGCGGCCACGCTTTGCTCAAACTTTCCCTGGAGATCTTTGGATTTACCTGGATGTGCTAGGATTTACCTGGATTGATCCGCATTTACCTCGATCTGCATTGCTTGATCCCCACAAGTCGATTGGCGAAAAGTCATCAGGCCCTCAAGGACGTACTGCACGGAGTCTGAAAGCGTTTCTTATGCTCTCGCGGCAGCGGCCGCTACTGGCCCTGCCCGCCCCGCCGCCCCCCTCCCGGTCACGGTTCGTGCTGACGTCTAAGCAGCCTTCGGCTACAAGTCAACCCGCATCATGAGGACGCAGAGATAAGAATGTAAGGGCCTTGGACGCCCATTTCGAAGCTTTTCGAGCGGGGCGCGGCCAACGAAAGTGGCCAAGGATGGACCGAGGAGGCATGGATGCAAGGGCATCCTTGGGAAGGCTGACCATCCTTACTATGCGGGTTAAGCGTATTCCGAAACCTTCCTGGACGGCGCCGGCGCGAACCGTGACGTTACCGCCCCCCCCTTGGGCAACGATTCCTGCGCCCCGGGGAGAACAAAATCTCAGTGAGCCAAAAGCTCCGCGCGAAGCCCGCTCCGACTTCCGGAACGAGATTCTCCAGGACACTCCGGGCCCATCCGCTTGCTTTCCGAGCGAGGTCCGCTCTTCGATGCTGGCGCCGTGAGCCTTCTTGGTCTCGGCGTAGGTCGGCCGCTTCTTCTCCGGCGGGGCCGGCTCCTGCCTCGGGCGCTTCGGGCGGGCGACGGCCGCCACCGACGCGGGGTCCGCGGCGGGCGCGCGCTCCGGGGACTGCTCGCCCCTGCGCCTCCTCTGCGCGGGGGCTGCGGGGGAAGAAGCGGCGCGGGAGGCCCTCGCCGCTTATTCGACCCGCGAGGGCCCCCCGCGAGCCCCGTCGCATGACTCGCGAGGATGCCATGGTGCCCCCCCTGGTGACGCCACGGTTCGCCACAGCGCCGCCTGGGAACGCCTGGGATTCCCAGGCATGTCTAGGCATTCCCAGGCGGCGCTGACGTGAATCGTGGGTTACCCGACAGCCCCCCCCCCGCCCAGTAACGCCCGTCAGCGCCACGGGATGACCGCCCAAGATCGACTCGGGATGAAGTGGTGGCCCCGAGGAAAAGACCGGCCCGCCCTTCGTGACTTCCTTCGGGTATCCGGGGTTCCGACCACTTCCCTGGGGCCGTTATCCCGACCAGCCACAACTGGGGGAGCTGTGGTCCTTACCCCCCTGGAGGAACCCATCGCATCGACGATCTCTCGAGAGGGGTGTCGAAATCGATGGGACCCCCAGGGGGGTAAGGACCACAGCTCCCCAGTTGTGGCTGGCCTGTTCTCATGCTCCCACAGATCCGACGCTCCCCAAAAAAATGGGCGGGCGGTTTGGGGGCTATCTTCGGCGTCCAGGGGCCCTCGCCCCGCCCCCGGGAGTGTAAAACGACGACGCAGGGTGAAAGAAACCGCTCTAGGGAAGTGGTCCAGACCTCTGGGGCCCACGCATCGAAAAACGTGAGCAGCCGGATGTCTGGGCTGGGTTTGTTTTTATGGCGTGCTCCATCCCTGTAGCCAAACAGCACGCAAGCAATAAATTCTCAAGGTAGCGCGAAGCGGGCGGAGAAGACAAACCAGAGGGGAGACAAGAGAGGAGGGGAGGTGGACGAGGGACGCAGAGGAAGGACACCTGCCATTGGTGCAGAAAGCCCAACGAGTTAAACGATCAGACCCCGTGAGAATGCAGGTCCCGAATTTGAAGCCAAGTACGCCCTCTCTCGGGGCGGGCAGGTAAACCTCCAGCAGTAGAGAGCGTAATCGCCATTCGCATCTTTAGGCTTCCAATTCCGCACGCCCCCCGCCGGGCCCCCACCAAAGCCAATCACTTGCAACTCAGGGTACATCCCGCCTGGCATGGGGAAGTAGCCTGTGAATGTGTCGCCCTCCTTCCTGACTAGCATGTACCCGATGCCAGCATCGTCATACTTCTGCTGCACAGACTTGAAATAGTCCGCGGGCACTGCCGAGACCGTATAATGGCTGTCGCCCCAGATCGGCCAACAGGAAATGTAGGACCGCATGTACTGCGAGCTGATATTCTCGAGCCTCCGTTCGAGCCACGCTGTGGTGAGTGCTACTGTCATAGACTGGTCGGGTCGATTCCAATACATCACCTGCACGCGGACCGGGTCTACCTCTGCCCCGGAAACATTTTGGTGCCAGAAAGACACGAAGCCAACTCTGGCATTTGCATCCCGCACTTCGTAAATGGAATTCATCTGGAAACTGTTCGTAGTGTGCCTTGACAGCGTCCAAATCATAGTGCGAGCGACTGATCGATGTGTAGCTGCGTCGGGCCTGAACTGCTCATCAGTGGGACCAACTCCTGATCCTGGAAGACGTGACGAGCCATCGGGGAATCTCTGACTACAAACCTGGTATCCGACGGCGCGGTCGCAGAGATAGTCTCGAACACTTCCTGCGTGTCGGGCGCGTGAACGATCAAAGAGTAGAAGAGCGGCGGCAGGCCCCCGTCGCCCGAGGGCCACCTGAACGCGAGGACCGGCACACCGTAGTCGAGAAGTCGACGCGCATACGAGTCCAGTTTGTTGTCGTAGATGGCGACGTGGATGTCTATCCACGGGGAGTAATCTGCAAGGTTGCCCAGCTCCTCCTGAAAGATGCGCTCCACGTGCGGACGGTGAGGTCGCCAACCTCCCTGTCCCCCGCGCTGCCACAGTTGTCGGCGTGAACCCCGTGAAAGTGAAACTCGGACAACGTGTGGTAGTCTGACTCCCCGAGCACAGTCGCGAGACGGACCCTGGTGGTCGCCCCGCACGCCTCCTTTCCAGCGACGTCCTCGAAGCGCCTGGCGGAGTGCGCTGACTCGTCACGGAGAGCGGCGCCCCCGTCGATCGCGTCCTGGACCAGCTGCAAGAAGCTGGAGCGCTCGTTCCCCGAGAGCCCGTCCTCGGTCAGCACGGGGAAGAAGAACCTCTTGAACGCGGGGCTCCTGCCCGCGTGGCTGGCGCTCAGCGCAAAGGTGCTCTTGGCCAGCGCGTGGAACTTGATCGAGGACGGGTGGAGGCTCGTGCTCTGCGCCAGCGCCACGGCGGGAGCCCCGAGGGGCCTCTGCAGGAGCTCCACCCGCATGGCGGAGGCCGTGCAGTCCCCGCCCGCGTGCTCGAGCGACACCGCCCCGGCCGCCGGGGCGCCGGCCCGCCCGAGGGCGGGCAGCAAGGCCCCAGAAGCGCCGAGGCGCGCGCGAGAAGGGTGGTCATGGCGGCGTGATGTGGGCCTCGAGGCAATCGCCAACCAAACACAAAAAACAGAAATGCCGCTTGAGCCAAAATGGCTACGGACCAGAACACATCGGACCCAAGCTCCCTCGCGCTGTGCAGAAATCGCGACGGGAGGTTTTTCGCTATGTTCGGCCTCTGGGGGCCCTTCCCGGGCCTCGGGACCAGCAAAAAACGACCCAGGATGACAGACCGGTCTCCGGGAAGGAGTCCCGGCTCCAGGGGGTCCACGTCACGAAAATCACGACGTCGGGGTCTGGGAACTCCGACGTCGTGATATGTTCGCAACGCGGGCCCGCGAAGGTCTAGCCCCCTGCGCCGGGACAGGATTGTCCGCCCAGGTCGTCTTTTCTTGACGGTCCCGGAGCCAGGTGAGGGCCCCCAGAAGCCGGAAATGACCAAAGACCTCCCGTCGAGATGCCTGTTCCCGACGAGGGGAGGCGGGAGAGAAGGAGGATCGAGGAGGAGCAGGAGGACCGAGGCTCGGGGACGAGCAAGACGGCCGAGAAGAGTTGCAAAACACCCCTCGTCGAGGTGTTCGTTTGTGCACCGCGAGGGGAGGGGGGTTGGAGGCCTCCGGGCACGCGCCCTCGGCAGCACGGAGTGGTCGAGGCCAGCAGGCGGTGGGAGCAGTGGACGCCAGCTCCCAAGCCTCAGGTCGGGCCTGTCCCCCTACAGGGGGATTTTGGACGAAAAATTGAAAAATACCAAAGATTATCCCAGAGCGACCCTACCTAGGAGTTGGAGCCCCGAGGAGAGCAATATTAGTAGTAACGGTAAACGCCGTCCTCCTCTTTCTCCTCATCGTCGCAGTTGTAGCAGTAGCGGTAGTAGTAGTAGCGGTAGTAGTAGTAGTAGTAGTAGTAGTAGTAGTAGTAGTAGTAGTAGTAGTAGTAGTAGTAGTAGTAGTAGTAGTAGTAGTAGTAGTAGTAGTAGCAGTAGCAGTAGCAGTAGCAGTAGCAGTAGCAGTAGTAGTAGTAGTAGTAGTAGTAGTAGCAGTAGTATTCGTAGTAGTAGTAGTAGTAGAAGAAGTAGTAGTCGTATTCGTCGTAGTAGTAGTAGTAGTAGTAGTAGTAGTAGTAGTAGTAGTAGTAGTAGTAGTAGAAGTAGAAGTAGAAGTAGAAGTAGAAGTAGTAGTAGTAGTAGTAGTAGTAGTAGAGCTGAATACCTACATCTACATCTAGACCTACATCCACAACTACACCTACAGCTACATCTACATGTACACATGCATCTACATCTGCATCTACATCTACAACTACACTCACATCTACATCTACATCTACATGTCCACCTACATCTACACCTACATGTACACCTACATCTACATCTACACCTACATCCACATCTACACCTACACCTACATCTGAATATACATCTACATGTTCGCGTTCGTGTTGCGTTTGCTTTGCATTGCCTTTGCCATTGCTCTTGCCTTTGCTTGTGCCGTTGCCTTTGCTTTTGCTTTTGCTTTTGCTTTGATTTGCTTTGCTTTGCTTTGCGTCGCTTGTGCTTTGCTTTGCTGTTGCTGTTGTTGCTTTGCCTTTGCGTTGATGCTATGCTATGCTATGCTATGCTATGCTATGCTATGCTATGCTGCGCTATGCTATGCTAGGCTATGATATGATATGATATGCTGCGCCATGCTATGCTGCGCTATGCTATGCTATGCTATGCTAGGGTATGCTAGGCTGCGCTATGTTATGCTAGGCTATGGTATGATATGATATGCTGCGCTATGATATGCTATGGTATGATATGCTGCGCGATGATATGCTATGGTATGCTAAGCTATGATGCGCGATGCAATGCTATGCTAGGCTATGCTATTGTATGCTATGCTGCGCAATGCTATGCTATGCTATGCGATGCTATGCTATGATATGCTATGCTGCGCTATGTTATGCTATGATATGATGCGCTATGTTATGCTATGCTATGCTATGCTGCGCTATGGTATGCTATGTTATGTTATGAGATGCTATGATGTGCTGCGCTGTGCTATGCTATGCTCAGCTAAGCTATGCTATGCTATGCTATGCTATGCTGCGCTATGCTATGTTATGATATGCTATGCTATGCTATGATATGCTATGTTATGCTATGCTATGCTATGCTATGCTGCGCTATGCGATGCTGCGCTATGCTATGCTATGATATGATATGCTATGCTATGCTATGCTAATGCTGCGCTGCGCTGCGCTGCGCTAAGCTAAGCTGAGTTGAGCTAAGCTAAGATAAGCTAAGCTAAGCTAGGCTAGGCTGAGCTAAGCTAAGCTAAGCTAAGTTAAGCTAGGCTAAGTTAAGATGAGATACGCAACGCTAAGCTAAGGGAACGTCACTGGGGGAACCACGGGGCGGATCCTGGGGGAACCGCCCGGGGCGGGCAACACTGCCCGGCCCCTGTAAACCAACAGGGTAAGAACCCTCTAGGCAGAGCCTAAGTAGGGAAAAATACTCAAAAGATGCCCAACCACTCTATTTTTTGACTGTGTTTAAATGTTCCCCCTGTAGAGGGACAGGCCCGACTTAACCCAAGCCTCGGCCCTCGATCGTCGACCATTCTTCGACCCCAAATTTAGGTCGGGCGTGTCCCTCTACAGGAGGAGCACTCAAAAGAGCAGTCAAGAAACAGAACGGTGGCCATGTCTCGAGATCTGTTGACTGTTGTTGCTCAAGTTCTGACTGTACTTCCCCATATCCTAAGGATGTGGTTCTTGTTATTATCTAACCGCGCCTGACCCCTCATCATCATCCCTCCCCTCCCTCCTTCCTCTCTGCACTAGACGATGATGATGAGTGCCGTGTTGACCATGGTATGGTGAGAGCATGATGTGAGTATGATGGTGATGGTGAATAATGGGTGAGTATGATGATGATGGTGATGATGATGATGATGATGGTGATGATGATGATGATGATGGTGATGATGATGATGATGAAGATGAAGGTGATGATGATGATGATGAGGAGGAGGAGGAGGAGGAGGAGGAGGAGGAGGAGGAGGAGGATGTCTCGAGTGGTTTGCTGGTTGTCGCACTCCTAAAGGGGGGCGCCAGGGGGTAGCTCACGGCCTCCGTTCGCGCCCAGATTGCGGGGATGTCTCAGGCGGTTTGCCTGTTCTGGTCGCGAACATCTTTCGTTGTCGAAGCAAATGTTGAGGATATCTCGTGCGAGGCGCCTCCTAAGGGGGGGGCGCCAGGGGTATCTCACGGCCTCCCCGCTGGCTGCTGGAAAGAGGTCCGCCGAAGTCGGTGAAGGAGGCCCTCAAATGCTTCCCAAAGACGGAGGGTTTAACGGTGGAGAGAGCTGTCCTGCTTGCCGAGCAATATGAAATTGCGCTGCCAGAAGGGTAGGAGCTGCCTGAGCCCTCTGCGGCCCGATGCCAAGTGCGGACGGAGTTTTGTCTGCAGTTCCCCGCGCGTCAAGCCGCACGCGGCACGACGACGCCAAGTGTAGGTAGGCGCCTGACTCGTCGGGCCGATGCCAAGTGCGGACGGTCTGACCCGACGGCGCCTGTCGTTCTGGTGGCGCGCGGGACTTGCTCTGGCCGCCAGACAAACGGCCCTCATTCCTTCCTCCCCTCTTCCCCCCCCCCCGTCCGCTTTGCCAGCGGGGGGCACTGGCGTGTCGCGTGAGATGTTTGCGTGAGCCACTGCTTCGGGTCTCGCACGGCGTCTACATGGAGGGAGGGATCGCGTAGCCATACTCAGACTCATGCGCATAGCCCAGGAAGCCCCAAGAGGCCCCAGGAGGATGCAGCCACGCTCAGTCATGCTCAGGCCGCTGACGTGCAGATACAATCACCCTAAGCTTAACCACGCGCAGGCTCATGGGCTTCGCCTTACTCGTACCACTGGGCCTCGTGCACACTCAACCTCATTCACACTCAGATTCCCTCCCAGGCTGTCAATACTAGAGCTCGTTTATACTGGAAGCTTCTTGCGCTTAGCCACGCAAGGCGGAAATGTCAATGCAACGAGATGCACATGTGGGGAGCTCCACGCAGTGAATAATTGTTTTTCTGAGGGGCAACGATCGGGGGGGACTGGCATAGGGGGGATGCATCGACCTGGAATCGGCGATACATCGCCGATAGATCGGCGATAGGCCTCTGATGGTGAGTCCGCACCTTCCTGGGCAGGTTGGGGCTATCGGGCCCCTTATCGGCGATCAATGGGCGATTGGGGATCGATGCATCCCTCCCTATGCCTATCCCCCCCTATCGTTGCCCCTGATTTTCTAAGAGGACATGCCTGTCCTAACCCCGGATCCTCAGCCACTTCTCGATGCCCGCGTCCACCGCCGCCGGCGTCAGGAGCTGACCTCGGGGTATTCTGACCCGGGTCAATCCAGACCTGGGTCAGCCAGGCCTTGCAAAATCCTGCAAGATCGTGCAAGATACTGCACCCAAAACCAGGTCAGTGCGAAAGATCCTGCAAGATCCTGCAGGATCCTGCACCCAAACCCGGGTCATTGCGACCCTGGCCCTGAAGGATCCTGCAAGATCGGGCGCATTGGCTGACCCCCGTTCGCATTGACCCCCATCTCAGAGCTCCCGACGACCCGCGGGCGTCACGCGGCCGGCCTGCGCCCACGCCCGCAGCGTCGCGCAGGACCGCTCCGTGTCGCCGAGGCGCTCCGCGGCGATCTCCAGCGCCTCCGCCGCCGCCGCCCGTCGCCGCCGCCCCACGGGAAGGATGAGGAGCGAGGAGAGAGGAAGGAGGAGGGAGGGGGGAGAAGGGAGGGATGAGGAGGAAGAGGAGGAGGAGGAGGAGAAGGAGGAGGAGGAGGAGGAGGCGGAGGCAGAGGGGGAGGAGGAGGAGGAGGAGGAGGAGGAGGAGAGGAGGAGAAGGAGGAGGAGGAGGAGGAGGAGGGGAGGAGAGGAGGAGGAGGAGAGGAGGAGGAGGAGGAGAGGAGGAGGACGAGGAGGAGGAGGAGGAGAAGGAGGAGGAGGCGGGCCCTTAGGAGCAGCAGGAGCAGGAGGAGAAAGTTGCAGGAGGAGACCGTGGTGGGCCCCCCCGATGTCGCCGCCGCCGCCGCCGTCGGGTTGGCGTCGCCGCTGGCACCGTCGCCGCCGTCGGCGCCGACGCCGCCGCCGTTGCCGCCGCTGTTGCCGGCGTCACCACCGCCGTCGCCGCCGCTGCGACGATCTCCAGCGCCTTGAGGACGTCCGAGATCTTGATCACCCTCTCCTCGGTGGTGGGACGCCAATTCTGAATTCTCATTCCTGGGAGGGGTCTAGGGATGGGTTCGGGACGAGGTCACCTGACTACGCGCGTCGCGCCCCCATTGAGGACGTCCGAGATCCTTGTCACCCTCTTCTTCTTCTGGTCGGGGGCGTTCAAGAGGGGGGCGTCCAAGAGGGGGGTGCGCAAATCATGGCCGGCGGCATGTGCGCGGCCCCGGGGGGGCCTGGGAATTTTTGAAATAGAAGAGATGCCAGGAAAGAAGGGCGGACATCATGGCCCCCGCCATGCTACCCACCCCCCGTCCATATAGTCACCACCCCCCCTCTTGGCCGCCCCCGATCTCGGACGTCAACTGACGACCTCACCGACCCCGGCCAGGCCCATGCGGGGCCCAGGGTCGTTGACGTACGCCCTCGTGGCTTGGCCAGGGGGGAGCGATGCAGACATCGACCGGCGGGGCCCGGGATCGACCTGGCCAGGATCGGTGGGATGATCCGTAGAGTTCCCTCCGATCTGCCTCCGCCGGCAGAAGCCGGCGGAAGGCCGGCGGGAGGCGGCGGAAGTAAAAAGTGCGCCCCCAAGAGATGAAAACGTGTCTGGGTTCAGGATTTGCGGAGTCGCCCAAATGGGCCAGGGGGCCAGGCTTCTAAAAAGTCAGCGGGCTTCCTAGAACCTAGAGGGGCCCAAGGACTCGGAGGCTTTTCAGGCTTTCTAGAAGGCGGGGGGGGTCGTTTTGAGAAGGCCCCCTGCTTCATAGAAGGTCACCCCCTCGCACCTCCCTCCCTCTTCTGAGCGCCGCCGATCCATGTAGAGGAGAGGCAACTCTGAAGTATGGTGGTCATTTCTGGACTCGAGGACTTATTTTGACCACGGCTGGGTGCAGCTCGAAAAACTAGCCAGAATGCACATCAGACGGGTTTGGGAGGGGGGGATTTTGAATGGATTTCTCTCTCGGGACGAGGTTACCTGAGCGACGAAAAGACACGGATCTTACGCGAGATGACGTAGCGACCGTACGCCGCGGCTTACGCGGGCCGCCAGCGCGGCACGCTTCATTGGAAACGAGGGCGTTACGCGCAACCTTTCGCGACCAGCTTACGCGCCAACGTCGGCGAAGACGACCCCGTTTTCTTCCGCCGCTCACCTACAGCCGGCAATGCGACCAAGAAAACCACAATTTAAGAAACCTGGGCCAGCTTCCAGGAAGTTTCTTGAAACAGGCCTGGGTTCTTTGTCTATTGTTCACGTCAGAGGGATGAACGTGCTCAAAAGAAACTGGGCAAGCCTTTCAGTCATTAAAACTGGGCTGAGAAAAATGTTTGCCCAGCTTTTCTCGGAAGGAGGCTTCTCAATCAACGGCTCGACTGTCGCTTCGCGCGCCACGCCCCCTCGAGTCGGGCGGGTGGCAATGGGGGGTGACCCAAACTGGGGGGGGGGGGGGGAAGAAACAAAGGGCCCTAGAAAAGGCCCTTTTGGGCCACTTTGGGGCACCCGCTTGCTCCAAGAGGGGCCCCTGAAGGGCCCCTTTAGGGCCCTTCTCTTCACCCCCACATGCGGGCCACCCCCTACTACTGGGATGGGCGCAGGGGGCTGCTAAGGGGATAGGGGGGTGATCAGTGGGTTGCCAAGGTGGGTTATATCTGGCCTAAACTAGTCCTTACTGGGTTGCTAATGCCCCAAGTGGACTGGAAGGGATAGCGGTCCAGGCTAAGTGGGCTCCGCCCACCTAGCGGAGTTGTCGAATCTCCTAAGATACTGGGGGCATGTGTAACCCAACTGTAAGCCAGGTTAGGCCAGGTGATGACCCCTTTGGCGTCCACTCGTAGCCCCTGTACCCCTAGCGACCCCCGCACCCGTCCCAGTACCACCCGCCCGACCCGAGGACGCCCGGGACCCTTGCCACCCTCGCCCTCCCTGGAGGGACGTCCGCCGACCCACCCTCACCGGCCCGGGCCGCGGCACGGCACGGCGCCGCGGGCACCATTGAGCAAGACAGCTATCGTGCTGGGAGGGAGGGGTTGGGAAGATGCAGGGCACGGCTGTGCAATAAGCATGCCCAGCATACGTGGTAGGATTGATGATGTCAACAATTCTCCCAACCCAAGAAATGTCTTGCTGAACCACCCGCGCGGCGCGGCAAATCGTGCTCTCGCCTGGCACCTGCTTCGCGATCTGTTAGTTCAAGAAAAAGGTCGGCGGCGAGCGACGGGGGGAAAGTGAGAACGGGGGGGAAATGAGAAGGACCAAGACACCTTCTCGTCCTCCTCGTCCTCGTCCTCCTCGTCCTCCACGTCCTCCTCAAAGTCCTCCTCCTCCTCCTCCTCCTCCTCGTCCTTCTCCTCCTCCTCCTCCTCCTCGTCCTCCTCCTCCTTTTCCTCCTCTTCCTCCTTCGCCTCCACCTCCGCCTCCGCATCCGCCTCGTCACCATTCCCAGACCCCCTGGCGTCGTGAAAAAAACACGGCGGAGGTTTTCGCTGCTGCCGGCCTCCGGGGGCCCTTGGCAGGCCCCTGGGTCGTCAAAGAACGGCTCGGGAGGAAGAACCCGTCCCAGGGAATGGGTCCAGATCTCTGGGGCCGATGTTATGAAAAAATCATGACGTCGGGGGTCTGGGGAGAAAGCCTTTAGTTTCGGAAGGTGGCGGGACTTCTCAGCAGCCCTCGCGCCTTCCGAGAAATTGTGTTGTCTCCGGGGAAGGCTCAGAACACTTCTCGAAAAAAGCCAGGGGCCTTCCGAACCTTCTGAAGAGGCCCTCTCCTTTTCACTGTTCCACCTCGCTCGCCGCCGAAGGAGAGGGGCCCCGCTGACGCAGCTCAAACCTGACAGCATCCCCTCGTAGGGGAAAAAATCCCCTTCCGGCATCTCTGGCCAGAATTTCAGGGGGAACCCAATTGTGGAGACGAGAAGCCTCCTGGAGGCAAAAGTATCAGCAACAACCAAGATCAATGGATCCTTGATTTTTGCTGGTGGGCTTTCGTTTTCGCCAACGGAACAAAAACCATAACGATCTGCACACTTCGACAGGCCATGCGCATCTCACACACCAGGCGGCACTGCGACTCGAAACGCCTCGCCACTCAGATGGCAAGACACAGGTGGAACGAAGGATGAACCCAGACCCCGACGTTCTATGATTTTTCAACAACGTGGACCCCCAGAGGTGTGGACCCCATCCTCGGGAACTGCTTTTCATCCTGAGTCTTTTCATTGACGGTCCCGAGGCCTGGTAAGGGCCCCCAGAAGCCAAAAACAGCGATCAACCTCCCGTCGTGATTTCTTCACGACGCCAGGGGGTCTGGGAAGGAGGTCGAGGCGGAGGCGGAGGTGGAGGCGGAGGCGGAGGCGAAGGAGGAGGAGAAGGAGGAGGAGGACGAGGAGGAGGAGGAGGCGGAGGAGGAGGACGAAGAGGAGGAGGGGGAGGAGGAGGAGGAGGAGGTGGAGGAGGAGGAGGACGGGAGGAGGAGGAGGAAGAGGAGAGGAGGAGGAGGGGGAGAAGGAGGAGGAGGAGGAGAAGGACGACGACGAGGAGGAGTGGTAGGAGGGCGGCGGCGGTGCAGTCACTGCACGAGGGAAGCAACAGTCCCGAGCAGAGCGCTGCGCACCGTGCAAGGCGCGCTTCCGAAAGCAGTCGTGCGGGCCCACGCCCCGCGAACGTGAGCGGGCGGATGCCCTCACTACGGGTCCTGCGCACGCCCCGCCATGCGACGGAACAGCGGGCACAGGGCGCCGAGGGACTCGCCGCGTAGTCTGTTGGCGCCCCAAATCCCCTGGGGCACAATTGATAACAGTAAATGCACTCGTTCTAAGCGGAGGGGGGAGGGGGGGAGGGGGGAAGTGGAGGCGGGCGCTGCTCGCTCACTAGGCTACCTCAGGATTGCTCCATGCTGTATTTGCCGGGCGCGTCCAGGACGATCTTGCGCAGCTCGTCCAAAAGGACCCATAGCTTGCGCTCGACTCCCGCGCGGGGGGCCTGGCCGTGCTTCTGCACGCCGCCACTCGCAGAGATGGTTTTCACCATGATGCGCGTCAGCTATTTGGCTTCCGCGGCCGTGGCCAAGAAAAGCTTCTTGTTGGTGCCCCGGAAGGCTTTACGAACCTTGCACACATGTACCACATGGACCAGGGCGTCCAGATCCGACGCTGTAGAACGGTTGTTGGTGACCACGGTCCTCTCTTCCGGGCTCAGATGGTCGTCTGTGGCCGCCAGGGCGGTGAGGTTTGCCCACACGTGCACGTGTGGCTCACTCACGGGCTTTTGTCCTCGGCCCTCTGCCGCAGCCTTGCACGTGTCGGCATACTGTTTGCTCGTGCGCCGGGCCTCGGAGATCTACTTGTCGTCAGTCTGGCAAAATATCATGATGAATGTAGCCGCCTGGAACTCTCTGATCTCCAAGCTGTCCTTTAGAGTGAGGGCGGCGACCAATTGAAAAACATGTGCGAACAGCTCCTCCACGCCCGCTGGGACCTTCTTGGCTGCCGGAGCCCCCTCCTCAGCACCGCGCTTCAGCGACCATGCCTAAATGGCTGGAAAATGTGAGAATAGAAAGAGAAGATAAGAGGCTGTTCCACACAATGTATGCAGTCAAAGGGTAGCAACACATGGCCCTGGAACGTCCTGCGTGACGTGATCAAGAAGATGTGGTAAATTATCGCATTCCTCACCACACTGCTTGCACATCAAATTGTCGGGCACATTGGGAACCGTAGTGAGTATGCTCCCCGTCCCCCTGCGGGTTTTGTGCTTTAGGGAAAGTACGATGTGTCGACGCGCAGTAACGCGAGTATGACCGAAGGTTGCAAACGTAAACTATTTGATCCTCGTCTGGCAGGGTTTGGGGTGCTGGTATATCGGCAGGGGGCTCCCCTCCAGGCGGCGGAATGGCGACAGCAAAATACTGCGTGCGCAACTCCGTGACATCCAATCGTATGAAATCTTCCCGCGCCCTCCTTGGTATAAATACATATGTGCACCTGCCTTGCAGTGTATCCAACAAGTCCCGCCCACAATCTATGCTCTGCAACGCAAGCATGTCCTCCCGAAATATCTGTGCCCATGGATTGATGTCGGCAACCCTTCCCAAAGTCCCATCCGGCAGGACCGTC